TGGACATGACCGGATTACTGCACTCATGACCTCAGAGCACCTGCAGATGCCAGCACAAGACCTGCAAAACATGAAGCCTGTCAACATCCAGCATGCAGAAGAGGTTTAGGAGCTATCTGCAGAGCTATTGGCTTCTGTGGGAAGGAGAGTCATATTTCTTTAAGGATGCGGTTAAGGATGCGGTCCCTACAGCTTGACCATGCTTCAGTAGATGCGTGAGTGTATGAGCAGAACAAACTGTACTAGATGGGTTATTGAAAGAGAGAGAGAGAGAGAGAGAGAGAGAGAGAGAGAGAGAGAGAGCTCAAAATTTGGAGGGGCTGGGAGCAAATCTGGGAGGAGTTATGGGAGGAGTGGCAAATGAATACTATCAAAATAGATTGTAAAAAATGAGGAAATTTCCCTCTTTATTTGGCCAACTATTAAGAGGAAACTCACGTTCCCCAGACACAGTAACCCAAGGACTTTGGTGAATAATAATGGTAATGCTGTTCTGAAAAAAAAAAAAAAAGGGGGGGGGATGCTTAACTTCCTTCTACTATGAAATAAGTGCACGGTGTTGGGAAAGTCACAGCACCCCTACCATGCTCTACCTATTTATATAACAGATGAGGTTGTTAATAGTCACATAAAGTCTTTCCACTTATAAATGTTCAGGTGCTCACTCCTGTGCAGAGGATGGGAATTGTGTGAAACAGCTGCTGTGTCGCTCTATTTAAGAGGAATTTGATATTCTTCAAAGACTCTGAAATATGTGTTGTAGTACTGAGCTTCCTTGGCCTTAGACTTCCTAATTTCATTCAGAAGTATAGCAATAACTATCCACAAATGCACATTACATGCATACATGTAAACTAGTGCATACTTGTAAGAATATTAGAAATATTAGAAAGCTTGATAAGCAAGAATGACTGAGGCAGCACATACTTAGAATTTTACTCCACTATTACATAAATTCTGATTGTTGATATGTAGAAAGTTTGATCAAGTCTCAAACTGCCCTGGAAAAGTTGATATAAAATCAACACACATTTATAAAGCTCCAGTATATTTTCAACTCTATTTGCGATATCTATTTTTGTTTTTCCCCTTTTCTCTCTTTGCAATGAATGAAATGAAATGATGAAAGAATGCTTAGATTTATAGACGGCACATAAGACACAAGCAGTGCCTGTTCTCTACCTCAAATTCTAGCTCAAGTTTTCTTTATCTTATAAGTTCAAATCTTCATAACAAATGAAATGTCATTCGGGATATTCTTACCATATTTTTGCATTTGTGAATGTTTTTAGGATCGGGGTGAATTGATGACGGCTTCAGACATGTCAACAATGTTCTGGTTCACCCTTGAGAAAGCCAGTCTTCTTTGGGATATGCTAATTACAGTCAAGAAATAATTAATTAAAATAATATCAAGAAAAGTTTGTTAGTCATTAATTTTGAAATCATTTCAAGATTGACTGTGAGTCATTGCTGTAGTGATTGAGTACAATGATTCAAACAACAGTGATGAAACACTGTTGTGTACATACACACATATACACATATACATACACACATATAATCACACAGAAACACATACATACAAACACACATATACACAAACACACAAACATGCATATACACATGCATATGAATACAGAAACATATACAAATACATTCAAACATACAAGCACATATACTTGCACACACAAACCACATACACACATGTAGGAATACATTAGGTAAGGCTGGCTTCCAGATGGTGCTCAGATGTGTCCCAACATGCAACTGAACATATTTCAGTTTCTGCTTATGCCCTTCTATTATTTATATATGAAATTCTGCCTAGCATTTTAATACAGAGTGCTGAGTGTTTCTGTCTTCTCTCTATAAGGATCCATCTACGTCTTACTATTGTTTGTTGTGGCTCCACAACCCCATCACACAAAAGTCATTATTTATTTAAAGATTCAGTCAACATACGCATTTACTAGGGGTCATACCCAGGACTTGGCACAGGCCAAGCAAGTGCTCTATTGATTAGCCACAGTCATAGTCTAATATAACAGTATTTTGAAGCAGGTCTTCAAAACCTAGAAAAAGTGTAAGCATTCAGAAAAAAAACGAACAGTTACTAGAATGACCAAATACAATGTTATGGGTTTAATTTCTAAAATTTTAATCCTTTGGGACTTGCTAAACTATTCCATGTTTTGGTAGGAAACAAACTATTTCCCAAAAATAAAAATCGATTTCACTTTTGGGTTGTTTTCTTTTGCAGTATGATCCTGGAGCCTATTTGCAATGAATGAAATGAATGAAATTAGGAAATATGCATATTAAACAATCACTTAATCACTGAGCTATATCTCCAATCCCCATTTAACTTTTTTCTTTTCTTAACTGAATTTTTGTGAATTTCATATAGTATATTTTGATTTAGATGCTTTCCCCAATCTATAATACAGCCCCTTACTATCCCCACCCAATTTCATACACT